CCCCAAAACCCCAAAACCCCAAAACCCCAAAACCCCTGAGAGGTACGTATTTAATGAATTTTAGCATGAGAGTTTATAATAATAAAAATGAAGACCAGCATTATTGTGTTAGCCTTAGGACTTCTGACAGCCTCATATTTCATCATGACTCCTTCAGTTGACTCTGTCGAGACTGAATTCCAACAGTTCTTGGGAGAATACGGTAGGAACTACTTCAGTGAACATGAGTACGCCATGAGGCTTCAGGTGTTCAGAGAAAACTACCAGACTATTCAGAGAGTTAATAGCGAAGAAAGATCTTATACTCTTGGCGTCAACAAATTCGCTGACTGGACCAACCAAGAATATAGAAATTATCTAACCTACAGAGAATCAGACAAGACTGGAGTCGAATATGCCACTCTCAAAGGGCAATTTGATGACGAAGTTGACTGGAGAGATAGCCCAACACTCAATCCTATTCAGGACCAAGGATCTTGTGGTTCTTGTTATGCTTTTGCAGCCTTAGCTGGTATCGAGCATGAAACTTACTACTTCAAGCCAAGCCTCCAGAAATACTCTGAACAACAGATTGTTGACTGCTCTAGAGATTATGGAAATGAAGGATGTAATGGAGGTCTTATGACTAACGTTTATGAGTACCTTCGTGATTTCCCAATCTGTATCGAACAAGAATACCCATATATCGGAAAAGAATCTGATTCTTGTGCCGAGAGCTCTTGTGTCACCGTTGATGATGTAATTAGGAAGTATGCTCAGATCCCTGAGAATAGCGCTGATGCTCTGAAGGAGATTGCTACTTATAGTGTTCCAGCTATTGGTATCGATGCTGGATCCAAAGAATTCCAGATGTACAGTAGCGGAGTCTTCGACTTTGAAGAATGTACAACTAACCTCAACCATGCTGTCGCTATCGTAGGATATGGACATGATGCCGATGCAGACAAGGACTTCTTCATCATCAGAAACTCATGGACTGAAGGATGGGGAGAAAGTGGATACATGAGAATTGCTATTGGAAATGAAGACAATGGTGGAACCTGTGGCTTCCTTAAGGATATGTCTTACATTCAATACAGATGCTAATCAATTCTGATTATTTTTCATATCCAATTTCTATCATTAACAGATGGATAGGGGTTTTGGGGTTTTGGGGTTTTGGGGTTTTGGGG